TCAGGACTCTCAAAGAAATGCATAGTAATGGAGGCTTTTATTTCCACAGTAATGGTTGACACTATGTTAAAAGAGCCAGAAGTACAGGATTTAAGAGAAAAGAGTTTTGTCATTATATAGGCAACAACCCATTTCTTTTGCTTATTTGTTAAGGCTTATGCTGTATAAACTTTATTTCTTTATTTCTCCCTTTCCTTTAATTTCTCACTTGATATATTTTTTTTCATTGTCCTATTACAGAATTTCTTTCTGTTTAAAACATAATAATAATAAAAAAAACATTTGCTTATGATACCAATAATAAGATTTAAATAAAAGGACTAAACTAAGCAGTGCAAGTTTTGGAACCAGTTTCATTTTTCAGAGTGGCTACACTAATCAATTGAGTTTGCCGTCTCCCTCCCTGCCTCACCAGTCGCTGTTCGTGGTCAGTCCCCCCAAACGCTTCTGGATTATTCCATGGCTTTGAGCCTTTCCCTTTCCATAACACTGTGTATATATATATATAATTTTTTTTTTACATTCTCTTTCTTTGGCATAGCACCCTCTTCACCCATCACTTCCTTTTTCTTTCCTTTCCTTTTTTTTCTGTGGAATGAAGGGGTTAAATACAGTATATATGTTGTGTTTTCAGTATGTAAAATTGCTATAGCCTGGCAAAATCCTATGATGTATAGACCATGTAATGCTGTCTGTTATTTTGTGGACTAATATATTTACACATATGTATATTTTGGCTTTAAGTTTTGGATTTTACAGGTTTTGTGTGTTTTATGATGTGCTCATGAGGATGGAAATTGTGAAGCAGTTGTATGTAAAGTTCTGTAGTTGTCTAAAAATAATAAGAAAAGAAAGGAGTGAGGAAGGGCAACGTGCTGTACCTCCAGAAACCTCCTGAAGCTGCAGAATATTTCCAATGTCCAGTATTTATTGTAATTAAATATTTAAGCATTAAAAAAAAAGTGACTGTGAAATCTAGACAAGGTCACAGAGGCACGTACTTGAAGAAAGCAGGCTATTCTGATATATCTTTGCTTTGACAGTATTTCTTGTCGTCTATAAATCACACCCAAAACACCTTTTTTTTAGTCTAGACTTCCTAGCACCAGCACTATTTTATTTTATTTTTTTTATTTATTTATTTTTTTATTATTTATTTATTTATTTATTATTATTATTTTTTTGTTATGGTTATTGTTCAAGATTGACCTAAGAAGACAAGAAGTCATTTCAGATTTTTGTTTGTTTGTTATATAATTGATGAACATTTCAGCACACATGTTAACAATGATAATCATTTTGTGGTTAAAGATAATATAAGAATACTTCATTTTACAAGATTTCCTCAGTTAAAAACTCACCTTTTTTGAGAAATAATTTTTATTAGTAGAATCCTTTTATAATGTTATAAGAATATTTTATTTCATGACTTTTCCTCAGTTAAAACTCACCTTTTTAGGAAGATGTTTTGATGAGTAAAATCCACTTTCTAGTAGAAGCTAGTTAGTGAAGTTTTAAACATAGCAAAGAACGTTTGATTAGTTATGAAAGCAAAATTGTTTGAGCCTTTTCATGTAAAATGAAGATGATATCTTTAAATGTCCTTGTTTACTTTCAGCTATTGGGAATCGTGTGCCTAAGTTGAAGTCAAGTAAGGGACGCTAGTGGAAGCCGAGACCAGCTAATGTGTCCAGTTAGATCACATCTGGGTGTAACACGTGATTCATTGCTTAGATATTTGCTGTTCTCCATTGCTTTAACTTTTTTAATTTTTTTTTTTTTTTTTCTTTTTCTTTTTTATTGTTATTAGTATTTAAAGCCAGTTAGGGTAAAGAAATTACTTTAATTTGAAAGATTTACATGTTTTTGAGTACCTAGCTATTGTTTTATTCTTTCTTATCTTTTATTTAAATTTAAAACTGGTTTTACTTTGAAGTTTGAGATGTAGCAATGAGCTGTAATGGAGTTTTGGCAGTATCAAAGGGATTTACGCATATACCTGTTAGATATGATAAGCCAGTATTGCCATCACCAATATGAAACTTTATAGTTAAATCTGTCTTCACTATTTATTCAAGTGCACTAAGTTTACTAGCTTGATGAAATTTAAAATAATCTTAAAATGCTTACTTTATGAGTTCTTCATATAAGTCTACCTTTCACACTCAGCCTGTTTTCTCCATATATAATAAGTATGGAGTTTTTTCCTATTTAATTTCATTGTTTATTCTTACACCTGACTCTTAATACTTTTAAGAAATGAACTTCGACTGGCATTTTAACAGGTTCTCTTGCACACTATAGCATCTGGTCTTTGCTCTTACTTTCACATAAGACCGTTCGGCATTTCATACTGGGTTCGGGTTGTATCGTTATTTCCCTTACTTGACTTCTCTCAAAAGGAAAAAAGGGGGTTTCTTTTCAGGAGTTGAATGAAAATATGCTGTCTTACTTTTTTTCTTTTTTTTTTTTCAAACTTTTGATTTTTTGTTTCTTATCTTTTCTTTTTTTTTTATGTATGTCTCTCTGGATTACCTGTGGCATCTAGAGCATGAATTTACAGAAGTGTCTAAATTTCTAGTGTATTTTTCCAGGGATTTTGCTGGGCTCAATTTTGTGAATTCTCAGAGCATTTCACAGAATTTCATTACTTTCCGTGTTCAATCTTGCTTACCAAGTTTATTTTATTTCTTACTTGGTTTGGTTTTCTTACAAAGGTATGATACATTGTGGTAAGAGTGGTATTACAGATGGTTATTGGGTAGTGGATTTGATCTTCAGTGATAATAATCTGTCTTGAAAGTCACTGTGTGAATTTTGTTTACAGTTTCATATCTCTTTTTCATTATCTTAAGGCATTCTGTCCTTGTTATCTTTGCTCTTCAGTAAAGTACTGAGAAATGTTTGTTAAGATGAATTTTTGTTATTTCCTCTTTTGATAACTGTATTTAGACCAGTTGTATCTATGCATCCTCTTCCATGGAAACAATTTACCAGCATTGGATAATGTATCTGTTCATGTATATGCATGTGCATATGCATACTTGAATGTATATGTATATTTATATGCATATATATCTTTAATAGGCCTACTAACTTAGATTAATGGTAAGGAAAGAATTTGGTACAACATAACTGTAGTAAAAGTTTGGACATGATAATATGTATAGGTTGCTGTCAGTCCCATGGAATGTTATATAACTGTTCATGTATATTATTAAGACTTAAGTTTTCTGTAGACTTCTTAGATACTGTTTCCATTTTTATAATAATTTATATAGTTTTCAGTTTCTTTTTTTGATGTTTCACTTCATTTTTTAAAAATCAAATAAAGTTTATTTTTATATCTTTACTGAATTACATAGTATATACTATATGGTAACTTTTATCTAAAAAAAATGTGATTTATGATTAAAAATATTTTTTTTCATCAGCTGTTATTTATTTAGCCTTAGTGTTATTAGCATTAGAAAAAAAAAACTAAATAATGCACCGCACAGCATGTGTGTATGTATAACAGAAAGAAAAAGTGAAATCTGTATCCCTGTACTCTGTGTCAAAATGGAAAAGAGGCATTTGATGTAGAGAGCAAATTATTTAGGATTGCTAGATTTATCCTGAATAAAATTTGAGGTAGATTTTCTGGAATTTTCATCAGGTAATGCTCAGAATTGGCTTAAAAAATGTTTACTGGAAGAAACTGGTTTATATATTTGTAAAGATATATTGCCTACTAATTGTCTCTTTGTTGACTAAGTGCTTATGGGGCGATGTGTGTGTAAACAAAATTTATAAGACAAAACTACAGAGGACAGGGAAATTACTTGGCATCAATGGACTGTCGATAAGGAAGGCTTTTACATGCATACTATGTCCGTTGTGAGTTTTGATTTTTATTGTGTATACATATAGATGGCTCCAGAAGTCAATTACTAGTCTTATCTACCTCACTTGTTTACCCTTTTCCTTGGGCTTCAAAAATAGTTATTTTTTATTGCTATTATTATTTTTCTTAACATTATTAAAGTCTATAATGTCAATGACAGTGATAACAGTATTGATATTAATAAAAAAAAGTGGAAAGTGGAAATCAGGTGAGGTCACACAAGCTACTTATTGACTCATGGTGGCTGAGGACTTGTGGAACCATCTATGTGTAGAGATAGGTTACAAAACAAAATTACTGCATTTGGTTGATATATGTTTAGATATATTTTACCTTGGATTAATATAGTATTATTGCATATTCTCCTTGCAACAGTGTGGCATGGATAAGAGAAAGATGACACTTCTCTATTTTTCCTTATTCTACATTACACATCAAGCCTCTACAAGAGGAAGGAGCAACGCTGTTCACTAACATTTAGAATGTCTGTTTTTTCTGCTTAACACAACACTGTCTTTCAAGTGGCTGATGCAGTATAGCTTAAGGAAGACTTAACCCATTCGCCACATTTGGCAAGAATAGATGCCATACCCACTTTGAGACACGTTTATTTATTGTATTTACACATAGATGGCTCCACAAGTTCTTAATCACCAAACAGCCAGTTATCAAGAACTACCTATTTCACCTGTTTACCCTTTTCCTTCACTTTTGGAAAGTTTTTTTTTTTGTATCATTTCATTGTCTAAAATATTCTAGTGACAATTTGGTAATCATAACATCAATAACAATAATAACAGTATCGATAGCAATGGTATTAATTTTCCCGCCAATGCAATGAATGGGAAAATCAGGGTCGGTAACTAGGGCCTACTGATAGACTCCTTGCCAGCTGAGTACATGTGGAGCCATCTGTATGTAACATAATTCACTAAAAACTACAGGGGACAGAACATAAATCCGTGGCGAATGGGTTAAGGATACTCTTTGCATGCATGCATGCGTGCGTGCGTGTGTGTGCGTGTGTGTGTGTGTGTGTGTGTGTGTGTGTGTGTGTGTGTGTGTGTGTGTGTGTGTGTGTGTGTGTGTGTGTGTGTGTGTGTGTGTGTGTGTCCATCAATCTCCCTGATTTGTCTCTTTCACACCTCTTTTCCCATGAAATGCTGCTGCACTTTGTGATGTACAAGCGGCATTATATATGAATATTTCCGTTTAACAAATATGGCTATTCAAAAGATAATAATAACTAAACAAGGAATATTCAGCAAATAATTAGTAGTTAGGTAAACGACTTATTAGTTGTGGTCACTAGTACCTTTTTTACATTAATAGTGAACTTAGATCTATATTTATTTGTAAAAGAGACTTAAAGAGCAAAACAAACTTTCAGGGATACTTGCAATGTTTCACTAAATGTCTAATCTAACAATGGATCAATTTGGCCATTGTAAACACCATGCAGCTCACTTCATGTTAACTAAAGGCAGACAATTAGAAATTGTACATATATGTTAATTTGGTTGACACTAACAAAGTTGTGTGTGTTTCATAGTGTATAATTCATTGGTGCAGTAAGAAAATATCCTAAAGCTGAGAATATTGAATATTGGGGGGAAAAACAGCGAAATTGCAATACTTTTTCTACAGCTTTATATGGAATGCAAGTGTATAGACAAATTACTTCATCAAAATAAGCCTTAGTTTTGTAGTTATGAGTTTTTTTTAAAGGGTGAAAAGGGTGAAAAACGAGTCACAGGTTTCTTTCTATGGCTTAGAATGGTATAAATATCAAGCCTGTAACCCAATAAATATATATTTTTTATTTGAGTTAGATACCATCCTAAACCTTAAAAATTAAGATTTATTTAGTAATAAATAGTCTAGGGCAAGTAGATTCATTGGGGTTTGTAAGTGGTAAATATATGGAAAAAAAGAAAGGAAAGGAAATTATATAATATAAATAAAGATAAGGGTGAGGGTAATATAACCTGCCATTCATTATGATAACCAAGCCCTTGCTCATTGTCGTGGTGGGGGCTTAGGAAATGGAGACTCAGGCCCAATGGGGGATGGGATCGCCCTTGCCTTGGACCTCAACAAATTTAGCATGGTCTCATTTGTACCCTTTGTGCCACAATACTTTATCGTAATGCTATACTTGGGGCTTTACCCCCAAGCCCTACACTATCGCTGGATTTTGAATACCCCGCTAATGACCTTAGATGTTGATGCAGCAGAAAATTTTCAATAAATAAATACCACTGGTCCTCAAAAAACATTACACTTGCTTAACATTCACATGGCATGTTGTACAGCTGTCAATAACATCAAAATTCCTATTTAGTGAACAGGTTTGCTGAATGTGACTATCTCCCTTATGATAAGGTTGCTGTCCGAGTCACACATCAGAACAATAGCAACAATACAAAAAACAGCATGGGAGGAGCCATTTCAAATTTATTCCAGTCTTTCAAATTTCAAATTTATTCCAGTCAAAAACTGCATCCTATTATGCTTCCTAATTATGCTTTTTCCAGCTTTCTTCCCATTCTTTTCACTTACTTTGATGTTGGCTTTCTATCTTTCTTACATCCATATTTATTTGTACATACCCAACATGAAGTTTATTATTCTTTAGTTTTTACTTCTCCTTCCGTAAAATATTTCTCCACTTTTCCTTATTTAAGTGTATTTGAGATACTGGAAAACCAAACAACTGAAATATTCATGGACAATTTATTTGATAACTTAACAAAGTGAACATTACTGTCATCCAGATTCCAATAACAATTAAATTCAACACAATAACCTTACTAAACCTGAAGATACCATAGCAGGAAATGATAAACTGTAACATCACAAATTATATTGCTATTTTCATTAAAGTTGCTCATAACATATTAGCATTTTTTTTAGAATTCATTTTTGATTTTTTTTTTTCTTGGTTTGTTTTAAGCTAATGACATTATCATCAGTGTTTCTGGTTTTATTTATCTAAACCAAATATTAACAAGGCAGTACACTAACCTTTACGAAAAAAAAATAAAATCCTTATAGTTTCTCTAACCTTAAACTTAAATTCGGTTCAACAAAATTTATGATATATTATGGTTAATATATCTGGAAATATATATCTGAGATGTGAAACACAATACATAATGTACCTGAACAATAAATGAAGAGTTTGAATTAATATTCTGAAATATCTGACAACAAAAAATATATTTGAACTTTTGAACTTCAACATTTTTCTATCATTCCTATTGTGGAAAATTATTATAAACTCTTCTTCTAAAATCTTAACTTAAGGTCTGGCCTCTTGTTAAACGTTACCAAGATATACAAATCAAGTTGTCAATTTTCGTACTATCTTAAAAAGCAAAAGCAAGTAATCAAGGTACAAAAGTTAAAATATCAATATTCTTGTATTTGAATATATCTATAATGGTAAGACTTTAATGTGTATGGCAATTGGATAACTCTCATTTACTCACTTGTTCTCTCTCTTCTCTCTCTCTCATTCAACACAAACATTCACCATTACCTGTGTTCCGTGCAAAGCTGCGCTCTTAGATTTTACGCACATTAGCACCATCAAAAATTGCAGTGTGTCTATATATATAATATTACATTTTATATATATGTATATATAATATTACATGTGATATACATACATATATTTATATATATAAACGTACACATGCAACCACACAGTCCTCTTGACAAAACTTATCTATTCTGATGTTATTTACTAAACAATATCAATACTGATCATTATAATAAAAAGGAACGTAAAAGAGTAACTTACCTAAATCAAAATTAGTTAGGACATTTGATCTTGCCAAAACATACATCACCAGTATCACAATCATTATTTATACTACTTGGATGGCATTTAGAAAGTTTTGAACTCCCATGTTATATACACAACAAATATCATAAAATGCTTTGGAACAAACACATGGAATATCCTCTTTTAAACCAATACATTCACTCCTTCCAACATTTTGCGAGCATTTCTTATCACAAAATATAACAAAAATATCTGCATGGTAGTGTATACAAACACATCACTTTAACAACGCTTGGTAACCCAAAAATATAATACAATACTTGTACAACTGAGCTAAGGCTTGCACTTTTCTCATTTTCATCTTAAGTTCAGTAGCCACAGCAACAAGAATACAATGCAAACTTCAACAATATAACCAACAGCAATTCATCCTAAATATCTTTGATAGCAACAAGTCTCAACACAGCATTCAACAAATAATTTTCACAAGTCCAACATCTTCACTGGAGGGCCTTTTGTAGTTTTTCCAAGGAACAATTTCTACTTATACTGAGCTATATGTTTCAGATACAACCACACATTAAAAAGAATATGACAGACCATTTACCTGCATGTACTTTGAAAATGGATTTCCCAACTCCTAACTCCACAGAATTTCTTTTTAATAAATAAATTTCTCAACCATACACAAACATCACCTTATCCACATTATTGCTCCTGTGTAATGCATAATTTCTTCATCCTAAGATCTAATCAAAGGTTATATAAGATTATTGCATGAAGTATATACCAAATTAAGTTAAAAAAAAGGCATAAGTCCTTTTCATAATGACCTAAAAGTACTGTCTCCCATGAAGGCATTTCTAAAAACCATCACTTCTCTCAGTAGTAGCACATAAAATAATAAATTTTAAGATAACAATCATGTAGTAGCACAGGCACTACATGTTCCTTGCACCTTAGATAAGAAAAAAAAAGTACATGCTCAGCAAATAGAGCTTCCTACACAATGATCCCATGAATTTCTTATGGAAAAGAATCTGTCTCCTGAGAAAATAGTCAAAATATTACTTTCAGCTTCCTACAGCCTAACCTGAGAAGCAATACAGTAGGGTCTCCTTAGCACACAAGATGTCCAGCACTCACAATCCGTTGAAATCTATTTTACGACAGCACTTTACCTTAGAATATATCCATACTTGCAATACATTACACACTTGTTCAGAATTAGAATTCTTTATTTTATTTTTTTTTTACTTCTCATAAAATATATCCAGAAACATACTAATGATTACATGTATGTGAACATATTGTGGATTACAGATATCAGCACAAATAATTATGCATCCAAACAGGCATCTACACATGCATTCACAAACACAAACATACTGCACATTCACTTTTAAGTTTTATGCAAAAAAAAAAAAAAAAAAGGAGAGAAAAAAAAAACTAGAAAAGAAAAGAAAAAAAAGAAACTAACTGGATCATCCTGCAAGCAATTAAAAACTTATTATGATACTTCCTTATTATGCTTTCCCACATTCAGTCGCATCAGTAGTAAAAATCTGCTGTCACTAAGCTCACTGGTTTCCAAATTATACCAACATAAATCACAATGTTAAAACTTATATACCATTATTTATGACATGGAAAGCCAAACCGAGGGCCCAGCTGATTTCATAGCCATCAATCTTCTTGTACAACTGAAAATGCATGAAGACCTCTGTTAATATTTAATGATAAGACAGTGAGGGAAGTACAGAGGAAGAGAGAAATGTGAACAGTAGAGGGAAAAGTTGGAGAAGTTTGAGAGAGAGAAGGAGAGACTTGGAGAGAAGGTAGAGGAAAAAAGGTGGCAGGATAAGCCAAATGAGATGATGAGAAACAGCAAATAAAATATAACAAAAAATACAAATATAAGAAAATAAAAATAATACAAAACTGTCACATAAATCATACATGACAACAATATCAATAACAATATATTTCTCCATATAAAATCATAAAAAGCTTTAAAGCTTCACAGATATCAGCATTTTGAACTTACTTTTACTGTGTTTTCACCCTTAAGGCCATAGCCACTGGTGAGGAATGCACTGATATATGTCAAGTCTAGGCATGCCAGAGGCTGCTCAGCATTAGGAATATTACAGGCTGGAAGAAGGACAAAATTAGTTATGAAAACATTCACTTTTCCTCGCTGTTACTTTTACATAAATTTACTAAAACAAAAGAAAAATATAAAATTATGTAAGGGGATCATTTCAAGGACTAAGGTAAACTTCTTTTTTAAACAAAGAAAAATTAAATTCTTAGAGTTTCCTATGAAAACTGGCAGGCAAACTGAGAAGAATATAAAATGGGGAGGATGGGTGGATTCTCCTTCAGTAATATTTCTAGAAGCATATTCCTTAATTTGTGAAGTACAAGTGTTCCTTTCATGGTTTTAGGATTATTATAATAATAATAAAAACAGCTTGAATCCAATATGATTACAAGCCTAGATTTTAGGAATATTCTCAAATCCCAAGTGAATTTGAAGATAACATTTCTTCAATTATTGTCAAAAATATTCCCCCTAAAATTATTTCTTTACATTTCACTTTAATTTTCTTAAACTAAAATATCTATATTCTTTCTTCACTGCATTATCCATGATTCATAAAACACAAATGTCTATCCACTCACTTTGCACAGCCGCTTGCAAAAACTCTTGAACTGTTAGAACTCCTCCCTTAAATGGATCTGTAATAGAATATCAGATAAAATTACCAGCTTTCCAGACATCATAGATGATACTAGTATAATTCTAACCCTTTCCATAAGTTATAAAAAAACAAAATTAGAAACGATTATCATAGAGTATATCATATAAACCTATACTAATCACCAGTTTATTGCTTACCAATAAGGCCTCGCTCGGTAGCTCTATCAAAGAAGTAACTGAAGGCAATCACTTCTCTTGTTCTCAGCTCAGGTGGGGAGTGTACCTGCAGCAAAGAAGTATGAAGTAATTTCAAAACAGCAATATCTGGTATGCTAACTGGATATTTTCAGAAAGTTGTTTTTAGCTGATGTACAAGTACATAAACGCAGAAAGAGACAAACACACAAAACCAGTATTCTTTAACAACAGACCATTATTCAGAAAAAAAAGAAGGAAGAATGAAGAAGAAGGAAGAACAAGAAAGAGAGAGAGACCTATCTAATGCATAATTAAACTGCCTATCTTACCTGATCCTTTATTACTTTAACACAAGCATCAAGGCAAGATTTATGGTCAGCTATGGGCCGGTTCTCACTCAGACGACCTGCCTGACCTCTGATCTCTTGATACTTGGGGTGTTCAGAACCTCTGTAAATCAGAAATTAACATTGTCTAGAATGCTGAATATTGCAAAAAAAAAAAAATATATATATATATATATATATAAACAAATACAAATAACAGAAATTCTTGTCTATATTTACAATAACTATGAAATACCTGTTGAATTAGATTGACAAAAGCAATAGAGATGTTTAACTTCCACTCAGATTTATTTGGTTATTTAGATGACGGTACATGGAATCTAATTTCTAAAAGTTTGTGCTAAGAAATGGTCTTTATAACACATGTAAATGTCTGACTAAAATATTGGATTCTAGGGTTTATAAAAGTGAGGTATATGACTCAAAGCAAAATAAGACTTTAAAAATTGAGGTTAATTTAAAAGTGGAGGTGTCCATGGGTGTTTAGTGAAATTTACACGATAACTGATATAAGAATAAAGATCTTCAGTAGCATTTCTTAACCTTAGGTGCTGGGAAGGATGCTAGGAAGTGCTAAATACATGGCACTAAAATATCAAGCCAATTACCCATATGTGTATGTTTGAGTTTGTCCATGCTCTTTTCTTTTTCTTGGGTTTTCTTATTCTTTTATCAATAAGGATGGCTGTTGTTTTTTAGTGTGGAGAAATTAACAAAACAAATGATGAAGCAGTACCTCACTTCTTTTTCCTTTATTCTTCTAGAAATCAGATGTTAACCAGAATTGGAGGGTGTTAGACATCCTAGACCTGACTACAGGGTGCTAGGGCCAGAAAAAAAAAAAAAAACTTTTGATGTTTTAGCTGCTAATACTTAAGTTACCAGTTACTTATATCATGCACACACAAATTGATCTAATCAAGCCAAATAAAGAAATACAGAGTCTATTAGGAAATACTCAAGTCTCTTTCCTGGCATCCAATACCTGATAGTATAAGTTTCACCCCCATAGCTCCACTGGGAGTCTATGATTGGATTGACGCAAGGGGAGTGGATGACTCCATCTTCACCTCTGTGCTGTAGGAGGACTGCTTTGCGAGCTGCCATCAAACCTAAACCAAGGTAACTGGAAAATAAAATGTATAGTTTAATACTTCATTACTGGTTAACTTGGTAATGTAAAACTCAATAAAATGAATTAAACAGATCTTAATCTAAACTGCAATCACACATCACACCCTAAAAATAGAATGAGAGAGAGAGAGAGAGAGAGAGAGACAGAGACAGAGAGAGAGAGAGAGAGACAGAGAGAGAGAGAGAGAGACAGAGAGAGAGAGAGAGAGAGAGACAGAGAGAGAGAGAGAGAGAGAGACAGAGAGAGAGAGAGAGAGACAGAGAGAGAGAGAGAGAGACAGAGAGAGAGAGAGAGAGACAGAGAGAGAGAGAGAGAGAGACAGAGAGAGAGAGAGAGAGACAGAGAGAGAGAGAGAGAGACAGAGAGAGAGAGAGAGAGACAGAGAGAGAGAGAGAGAGAGAGAGAGAGAGAGAGAGAGAGAGAGAGACAGAGAGAGACAGAGAGAGACAGAGAGAGAGAGAGAGAGACAGAGAGAGAGAGAGAGAGAGAGAGACAGAGAGAGAGAGAGAGAGAGAGAGAGAGAGAGAGAGAGAGAGAGAGAGAGACAGAGAGAGACAGAGAGAGAGACAGAGAGAGAGACAGAGAGAGACAGAGAGAGAGAGAGACAGAGAGAGACAGAGAGAGAGAGAGAGAGACAGAGAGAGAGAGAGAGAGAGAGAGAGAGAGAGAGAGAGAGAGAGAGAGAGAGAGAGAGAGAGAGAGAGAGAGAGAGAGAGAGAGAGAGAGAGAGAGAGACAGACAGACAGAGAGAGAGAGACAGAAAGAGAGAGAGAGAGACAGAAAGAGAGAGACAGAGACAGACAGAGAGAGAGAGGAGAGAGAGAGGAGAGAGAGGAGAGAGAGAGGAGAGAGAGAGGAGAGAGAGAGGAGAGAGAGACAGACAGAGACAGAGAAAAGCTGTACTACCGATCAAGGCAAATTTATCCCAAATCTACCTGTGTGTATAGAGATTTAAATTCTTATGAAGAAGAGAGATTGTGGTGAGATAGTCCTCTGGGGTGGACTGCACTGTGTTCTGCTCCACAGGTACAAATGTAATCTGTGTTGATCCACCACCGAGGTCCAGGGCAACTAAAGTTTCTTTGGGGTCTCCTGTTATCCGATCTGGGGGACATAAAAACATAATTACTTCCATCTGATTTTCAACAAAGAGTCCCTAATTTACCAATAACAATTCATGCAAAAAAAGAGAACACTATCTCAGTCACTAGTGATGCTAGGAATCAATCTTCCTGTAAATGTACATACTTTTTTCTTTACATACAATAGTTTTAACCATTCCTTACTTTAATATCACCTTAAAAAAAAAATCATTACCAACCAGGCAAAGAATGGCCATTCACACTCACCCATGAGGTAATTAACTGTGAACCAAGAGAAAATTCCTTCGTCACGGCCATCCATGATTCCAACAGAATTCTCAGTTGTGTGGAAACCGGAGGCTTTCAACACTTTCTTTACCTGCAGTTCATAAGACAATTAATTTTCCTGAATGCTCATATTACATCTAATTCCCCATATTCACAAAATGTAACTGAGACTTTAAAAACATAAGCCATTTTCTTTTTATAACACTTGCATTACTCAACCTGAAAAGTCTTCAATTAACCATGACAAGGCCACGAAAAGAATAAATATGAACAAAAGGAAACGTTTCTCATTCACAACATCAATACCTCTTGTAATAATGCTTCTGCTTTTTCTTCCGGCAAGAGTCTTAACCCTGCAGTTGCTTTCAAAACAATTGGAGTTGATGCCCAGTTTTGTTTGGGGATGCGTCCCTTTGCTAGCTCTAGCAATGGCAATAAAGACTTTGCACCCTGCAAGGAGGAAAAAATAAGAATCCCCTTGTAATAAGTGTATATAAAGAGAAAGTCATAAAGATATATGTGTGAAGTAAAAATCTGGTTTCTAAAAAAGTATAACATAACTGTATGCCTAAGTAAGCACAATGTACATATGTGTGTACCTGCGTAAGTGCAACTGTACAAGTACTCGTCTGTCTGCATATATATACCCAACCAAATAAAATACAAAAGCCATCTCTTAATCTAACTTTCTACCTACAACCAGCTGACGTGACAATCTCAGCAATGACCCCTAAGCTCTTACCTCCTCTGGATTATCCGCATAGCTGGAGAGGCCTGGCTTGATTTCGTGCCACAGCTCGTCATCCAGTTTTAACGATTTGTCTGCAAACACATTACAGATTAACTAATGCCTCGCAAAACAAGTATATATGAGAATCAATGTAAATTTGAAACACTTCTTAATGGCACATTGCAAGGGCAAAACATTAAGCAAATTAGACTCAGAAAGAATTCTCCTTATATTGGTTTAGCATTAAAATACTTCATAAATTGAAAGTATTTATTTAAAATATGATCAGCTTTTAATAAATTCATATCTCCATCTTCATTAACAAATTATTATTATTTTAAAATTCAACCATTGAAACTAACAACTGTGATACTTAATAATCATCTTCATATTATTCTCAACTCAACCAAAGAGTCTAACAAATATTGCACTTAGCTTTACTTTCATTCCTACATTTTTGTGATTTCTAACTAAACTACTATGCGAGTATACTCTATGTTATTTTGATACATTATAATAACTCTAATTCATTCTTCATGATGCATATTATGTGAAAATATAAGCATATTTCAGTCATTAATCTGGACATTCCATTAGCAAAATAAAATCTGCTTTAGCAACTTAAATAAATCAGACAAAAAAGAGAAAATAAAACAAAACAAAAATGGAACTCACTTCCAAAAAAAATTAAAATAACACAACTAACAAAAACAACAACATAATTTTGCATACTATAATACTATATTAGATAAAACACATCATGAAAAATTCAATGTAAATGATGAACAACAGAATTAGTGCTAATTGACACAAGTCCTAATACCTTCCTAATTCAGTACTTCCAGTTTTTACATGGTGGGGGGGTCTGGGTGGCAAAGGCATGTGAACTGTTCACGTTACATGATGCTTTTTCACAATAAAACAAATTGAGGCAAAAGTTAAATGTTAAAGAACTGCAGGCTATAAACAAGAGTAGCCCTTGAACTTTTTCACAGTTGTTACTCTGACAGGACAAAGGTTCCAGTGTGTCAAGTGCTAAGACTTTTGTCAAAACTGTCCATGCTATGATGGGCAGTGTGTCATTAACAAACAATTTCCCTTCTATCTGGAAACAAACTTTAGAAGTGTGAATAATGACAATTGAATGGAGTTTACCTACAGGTCATGCAAAGTGAAAACTCTGTGGTAGCTTTTCAAAGCATAAAATTTCATTATTGAAGGTGAACTTATAGATTTCGGCTTTTTTATAAAATCTTGAATACAAGATTAGTCACTAAACTATATCTAACTGAGAAGTCCCTTCATGCTTTACTTTACTAAGGTCCTAAGATGTAAAACTTTTATCTGTCCGCTTGTGTTTATAGACTCTTTGCCTAAAGTTAAAGTCTTTGACTACAGAAAAGTAGAAACCTATATCTATATTCAACTTAAGTAATAATAATAAAATACTTTATGTTCAATGCTGTAAATGCATAGCAGTCCTATGCCAAGTAAGAACAAATAACTGAACTATGCTATTTAAGTAATTCACTGCTGTTAACTTCATCATAAACTGTTATCCAACAGCCAAGTACTTAAAACAAGCAAACTCCATTTGTTCCGAACAGGGAAATGGTTTGTACCATGAGCACTGCCTCATCATAACCCTAGACCAACTCAGCTCGTCATGCCCAGCAGTGGAAGAGGGGAAATAGGTATAGACAATTTTACCATAGGAAGAGTTATTTGCGATGAAGCTAAGTGGTCCTTTTGCCACTAATGTCTCCTCACATCCTGCACCTGTTAATAACACCACACCAAACACTGATACAACACTTCTTGCTTGCTATCTGAAGCTGCTTTACCACCCATTTGCATGGTGTCATCAGAGCAAAGAACATACATACCCCTGAAGCACAATTATTGGCATTTCTTCTAAGGATTCTTTTAGTTTGTTGTTGTATACTAATAATAGTATTTTATTTTCAATGCTGGTATCATCAAATGATTAACTAAAAGTATCTTAAAACTACAGTTCTCTGGACATTTATAATAAGACAAGATAATCTCTAAACATAATAAACAAACCCTTATTAATAAAGATATGATACTGATTCTCATCAATTCTCATACACAACTCTATAGTAATAGTATTTCTGAGGGTTAAACTTTTTCGTATTCATGTATTGATACTAACAAAGATACTGCACTTAAATCATACATATCTCCCTCCTCACAATGTAAGCTGATAACATTCACCTAAATGACTGTCACATAGGCACAGAGAAATCCCTCAAACGACAAACAAGCTCTGCATAAGGACAGCATAACTACAGTCAAAAGGAAGGGACATGTGTGTCTGTGCTTGTGGAATATGTATGTACTTTGCTAACACCAGAACCAGCATAACCACAAATGCTGCCCTAGAGGAAAGGGACCAGTTGTGGTTAGCGGCTGCATCTTCAGTCTGAGATCGTTGATCCTGCTACACCTTAATCATTTTGCTGGGAAATTTAACAGTGACATGACAATTTGTGGGGGATGATGGGGAATAAAGAGAAGAGATTGTGAAGTGAATAAAGGACAGGAACAAAAGAAGAGGATGAAGAAGGAAAAAAATATGGCAGATAAGAACCAAGTGCAGAAGATGAGAAAGAAAAAAATTAAAGGACAAGGATGATACAGAGAGGAAAATTAATTAAAGGTTTCATGAAATGAATTCACCATAGAGAATGAAGACAAAGTTCAAGCTGAGAGATATGTAATGACTTCCCACACTATATCAAACATCCCTTCCTCTAAAAAAAAACAAAAAAAACAGTAATATCAAAAGAAGACTATTTAGCAAAATATTGCAATCAAATGTAGGCGGACCAATGATGTCAGCTGACTCTCAAGGGCAGGAGCTTCTTACAGGTTATAATAGAAAAAAAAAATTAAGAAAAAACAAAAAACAGTACACTGGAATATCATTAATAAAGCACAAACTTTTTTTCTCATAACATTTCACTTTAAAAAGTCAAAGAAAAAAATTACTGTAGTAAGTATGATTATAACAAGTCATTAAAAAACTGTTAGGAATCACTCAAAAATTTTATTCAGCAAAAATGTACTGAAGCAAATAATGAAATTATAATCCTAAAAAAATAGGTTTTCAGTTCAGAAAAAAGTACTTCAAATTTACTCTACAATAATGAGCTTGGAATATGTGAAATTAAACATGCATGTGTCTAAACACACACACACACACACACACACACACACACACACACACACACACACACACACACACACACACACACACACACACACACGCGCGCGCGCAGGCACGCACGCACGCTCCCTCACACATGCACACACCCACCCATCCACGCAAGCAACCATGCACGCACTCTGTGTAAATAGACACAAAATATCAAAATGGTTTAGATTTAGAAAAATGACATCTATTGAATATACTACTACAAACTACAAAACACTTATCCTTCTTCAACTACAGTATTATGAAAAATAACAATGATAATGAAAAGGGAAAATAAAAATCTCAGACCAAGACCTGTTCCAACACTAATGTCTATTTCAAAAGATTAGTTGTACATTTTTTTTTTTTTTACTATTTACATTTTTCTACAGATACTTCTCTCATTCATTCATTCATTCACTCTTCCATATTTTTCATTCTCCTTGCATTTTTCTTTCTTTTTTCCCCTTTCCTGTTTATATTTTGCTCAACTCTTTTGCCCATTTTCCCTTTCCTCTCCATATTTCCAGTTTTATCTTTATTTCCTTCCCCCTCACTGTTCCTTTTCTTCCTCCTGGTCTTGACTTTCCTCCCTTTTCTTTCCATTTTTTATTCCCCTTCTCTTCTTCCTAAGATATCTCTTATTCCCCTTTTACTATTCCACCCATTTTCATCACAGTATTGGTCTTCCTTCCTCCATTTTAAGGCTGAACATAAAACTAAATCATGTCCTATTAGTTCTAATTACAGCAGCCTCACACAATATAGTATATCTCACTATTTCATCATAAAATAAAAAAGCATTTTATGGCTCAATCTATCTATTTACAGAAATTCTATCAGTATACCTAAAATCCTGTTAAATTATTAAAACCAAAAAAGCTTACTGAAATTAAAATCCTCTACCTATCTATCTCTGCCTCTTCTCTGTGTATGTTAATAGTAGAAAATATGCATAATAAATGAACAGATAGCTATCTATTTCACATATACACAGTTACCCCTTCAAACCAGATCAGGAGAAAATTTCAATAATCTTCAGTAAAATTTGCTCTTCAAATCTGTAACTCAGATTCATGACATTTCAATCACAAAATGACAGGTAAAACATTTTTAAAAAATTACTAGCACATCTTTTCCCAATATAACACAATAATGAAGGAATATACATTGGCTAAGAATATAAAACAAAAATATAATAAATGTGTTCCTTATGTGCTATTAACTGCCTACTACAGCAACTGAATCATATACTCTATAATATTAAGAATGTTGATATTCCAGTAAATACTTTCAGGAGAAGAGTTTTCAAATGTTCTCTGTGACTACAATTCACTCACCATCTTCCCACTATTTGTCATAAGGCTTTTATCATGTAAGAATTTCTGTATTAACTTTTCCCCAAGCCTCCTCTAATGCTACCGACATCAAGGTTAAATTATCTGTACACTGCATCATCTATAACAAACTGCAATGAAAAAAACAGTAAACAATATCAAATGCTTACTTTCTCCTTAGCCATCCATTAGTGTAGCCTTCTATACTAACTTTAATTTCACTAAAACTAAATTAGGCTACGTCATTACTTTTAAAACAATGACATCTCTTAAGTCCTTAGCTATGAAGTCATTATTGTTAATAACACAAAAACTAACTAAGATGAAAGAAGTCGAGAAAGAAATCTTCAAGTCTTGTTCTCACAGCAAAATGTACAGAGCTCTGACCAACAACGAAGACGAATACAATACAATTAATACATGACAATGCAAAGGATACAATACAAAACAAGTAGTGCACATATAATTTACTAAAGACATCATATACTTCAGAAGGATCATCCATTCAAACACTAAATGAATATCATACTTAATATTTTTCTTGATTTTTTTTTTTTTTTTTTACGTTTACTAATCAACACTAATTCTTAAACTATTTATACCCTAAAAAGAATCTGAAGTTTCATTAAATTATAATACTGTAATATTTGGAATATTCAAGGGCCAATTGTGGCTATAGATGTATATAAAGTAAAAACGTCCTTGTATAAAAATGTATGCATGTTTGAGAGTAGGTAATATAACTTGTATATAACTCACATGTGTCTGAGAGAATGCATGTACGTATGAGAATGTGTATGTGTACAATAGTCTGAATGTAAGGGTATGTGGTCAAGTTTGTTTGAGGTTGTGACAGTGTGTGTGTGTGTGTGTATATGTGAATCTTGATATGTTAGTATAAAAGTGTACATATATGGGTATATGTAAGAGAAACTGTGGATGTATGTAAACAGGTGTGTATCAAAGAAAGTGTATGTGTATGCAAAGAATAGCATAAGTGTGAGAATGAGTGTAAGGGAGAGCAAAAGTGTAAAATCCTAGTTCTATCACTAATGTGCATTCATCTCATTAACCTATCACTCAACACGTCACACACATTCACATGCATAAACCACATTACCCTTTAAGCAAATATATATACATATATACATATATATATATATATATATATATATATATATATATATATATATATATATATATATATATATATATATATATATATATATATATATATATATATGTATATGTATATATAAATACATATATATATATATATATATAAATACATATATATATATATATATATATATATATATATATATATATATATATATATATATATATATATATATATATATATATATATATATATATATATATATATAATGTTGTTTCCATTAACAATTTAAGGAATATATACAAAAATCAAAGTAATCTATTGACCTGTATTACGATTTGTAGATTAACAGGAATACATTTTTTTGTTAGAAGTTAATAACTTGTAAGGCTTGTCATACTTTAGTCAAATCTGAGCCATTTCTTCTTTTTCCTCTTATGGTATCTTTAAAAACCACTTACTAAAAATAGATAAATAAATAGATCAATGGCAATGCTCCCACAACAGTTCCTTTGATTTCATGGAAAACCCCACTACAGAACAATATACATGGCATGACATTTTTTTTTCCCTACTACTTCATGATCCAGAGCTTACAAATAAAAGAAAAGAGGAAATATATATTAGATGCCAACATAGGCTGAATTAATATCAGCAGAAGATAATGTGCTATTTCACAATCAAGTCAAAGTGCTTAGTTGTGTTACAAAATAGTATATATTACTTCATATCAAAATATTAAAAATTGCCTCTCAGAAACTTTAATGGCACTAACAACCCTTAATGGCATCATAAAACCTGGCTTTTCTAATTTCTCTTCTAACAGCAGAATTCATAAGTACGTCATAATCTGACGAAAACAATGCTTATTTCTTTACTATTGATAAATGAATAATCTACTACTCCAATCAGCTGATGACCTGGGAATGTAGGCTAGTAATTCTATAACAACTCATCACCACTGACAGGAACTTTCTTCCTTTTACAAGAATTCATCAAGTGAAACTACTGCTTACCCAACCCATAATCCCTGCTAAAGGGGATGCTATAACAAGCTTAACATACCCATTCAATAATCACAGCTATAAAGGGTAGTATGGCTTACACCACAAACGCTTCATCTAACACACTCAGTCCTGGTACATCTCTCAGTAACAAAAACCTGCCACAAAATACAAAGACACACAAACACAAAACCAACAAGCTGCACTACTTCTTCGCTCAACATGAGTGAGAGAGACAAACATACACACATATAACCATTGAGTCGAGACACTACACATGAATTAATTACGCTTAATTGTCAGGTCCACCCTAATCTAACCTGTGAGGCTCTTGAAGAAAGTGAAGGCCAAGACGCGGGAGCCTGTTGAGCCTGCGTCGATGATCACTGCATACACACGCTCCTGGACCCCCATTGCCACTAAAGTTCGGTCCAAGATGTTTGTGCTGTGGCCAGTGTTTTTCATTGGCCATGTGTTGTTTAAGGTAACTGGAAAAACAGGAAAAATTCAATAAATTTCAATATTAGCAATGATTGCCATAATAATAACAATTATAATAAAATAGATATCATCATCATAACAATAATAATTATAATAATGAAAATACTGTAATTATAATTCTAAAAAATCTAAATTATATCATAATTTGTATAAGATTATAATAATTTGTATAAGATATGTAATTCACTTCTTACTTTAATTACAATATAATATTTCTTACTGTAATACAAATAAATCTAATATATGCTACTATGGTACTATGGGCAGGATCAGAGTTTGAAAACCACCTATACAAAAGCACACATATATTTTATGCATAAATGAACGATTTTGCCTTCAAATCTATTTACATCACTACAAATACTCATCATCATTTCATTCATTCCAAATGCAATTCATCTCTTAACCCGAAGCTGCTTAGCATGCCCACCAAGTTGTTGTCTTTACACATACATGGCTCCACATGTAATAAGTTACTAATGAGCCAATTATGAGTAATACCTTTCTCACCTGTTTACCCTTTTCCTTGATCTTTGGAAATATTTTCTGGTATCTTATACTGTTGTTAGTAATATCAATAGCATTATAATGATCATAATGTCTATACCAAAAATAACAGCATTCATACTGACAGCATTTACAAAAAAAAACAAAAAAAAAAACTGAAGGAAAGGAATCAGGTGAAGTCACAAGGTATACTAATTGACTCCATCTATGGACATTTCACAAAACAATACTAAATTGAACACATTTTTTCCAGCAACAGTGGGCTAATATTCCAACATTTAATCAACCACACAAAAGCCCAACAAATATTCTAAAGCCCATACCTAATCTATTCCAAAATATTACATATTAATAACCTCTTTGTCACATGATTTGGCCACACACATACAATTTGCGTGTAAAATAACATGGTACAGTATGTCAAAGGGAGAAAACAAACAAACAGAAAGATGACGAGAGAGAGAGAGAGAGAGAGAGAGAGAGAGAGAGAGAGAGAGAGAGAGAGAGAGAAACCTTACCGAGGATGATGAGCATGGCGAGGGAGAACAAGATGGCATTGAAGAAGAGGCGCATGAGACGGAACGAGGAGTACATCGTCCCCGAGGTCCGGTTTCCCTTGGTGACGACTCCCATGTCTCCTCCTGA